TCCATTTTAGAAAAATCATGTATAAACAAAAATTATAGAGATCGATATCGCAAACAACTTTTAGTTTAACAATTTTCATAAAAATCAGAATTTTGCACATTCTGTCAAATTTCTCGAATACGGACCATTTCAGGAAATTTTGACATAAAGCAAAAATTATAGATAATTATATTAGAAGTAACTTTTATTTGAAGAATTTTCTTCTCCAAACGTAAATAACAGATATATTCCATAAAATATAAAAATGACCACCTATAAAGTACCCCCCCAGATGTTCCGACTCTGCCCAAAATCTAATCAGCTCATTGGACGCTGAAACGAAGCTTAAGTTTAAAATTTGGTGTTTTTCTGTGTATCGGTTCATGAGTTATGCGTTATACAGACACACACACACACACACACAGACACACAGACACACACACACACACACACACACACACACACACACACACACACACACACACACACACACACACACACACACACACACACACACACACACACACACACACACACACACACACACACACACACACACACACACACACACACACACACACACACACACACACACACACACACACACACACACACACACACACACACACACACACACACACAGACATCATCGCGAAAATAGTCAAAACGGATTCAGGGGACCACAAAACGTAAAAATCCGTCGAAAACTCGAAGTCGAAAAAAATCATGATTCCTATACTTTCCTTATATCTGTATACAGATAGGAAAGTAAAAATGTTCTGTCAGCTTTCAAAATGGCCGCCATATTGAATAATATTATTTCGAAATATGTTACTAATAACTAGTTTAAGAAATAATATTATGGGACTTATGGGACTTATGGGACAAAAATTACGCCAAAGACGTATCTTAATATTTTTGTTATTGGTAAACTTTTAACCTGCATCTGAATTATTATTTGCGATATATGGAAAGCTGAAACTCCTTTATATCAATAGATAAGTCTTAAATTCAAATTTAAAAGTGAAACTCTGCGACTCTATGGTACTACCTCTGGCAAATTATTGCGGTTATGTTTACGGTTCCTGCCTTGACTGTGTAGAAAAAAGGAGACTTCAAAAACTCCAAAATTCATGCTCAAGGTCCGACATTTACTACACTTGTATAAATATACGCAGAAAGGTTATCATAGATATCCCTAAATATAGAACATCTGAATATCAAAATTTCTTCTCTTGTCAACTCATAAAAATCGTATAATTAGGCTATTATTTTTTCTAATTCTTGTAACTACTAACTTAGATTATAAATTAAAAAATCAAATCTTAGGAAAAAAATCTGATGTGTCCAACACATGACTTTCCTATCTAGTTATATAAATGTTTAGAGGATAAACTAAATATATACATTGTCCACATACATCTACCTCGAAACATTTTTCTATAGATATTCATGGAAAACGAAAATACTAAAAAATTTTAATTTCCTACAATTTTTTCTTTACGGTCCATTTTAGAAAAATCATGTATAAACAAAAATTATAGAGATCGATACCGCAAACAACTTTTATTTCAAAAACTTTCATAATAAAAATCAGAATTTTGCACATTTTGTCAAATTTCTCGAATACGGACCATTTCAGGAAATTTTTACATAAAACAAAAATTACAGATAATAATATTAGAAGTAACTTTTATTTGAACAATTTTCCTCTCCAAACATAAATAACAGATATATTCCATAAAATATAAAAACGGCCTCCCATAAAGTACCCCCCCAGATGTTCCGACTTTGTCCAAAATCTAATCATTTCACGTCAGGCCGAAATAAACCTTAAGTTTAAAATTTAATGTTTTTTTCTTCATCCGTTTTTGAGTTTTCTTCAAAATTCGAAATTTACACATTTTCTCAAATATCTCGAATACGGTCCATTTTAGAGAAATTATGTAGAGAATAAAAATTATAGAGAATTATATTACAAACAACTTTTATTTGAACAATTTTTATAAAAAAAAATTTTTTTTACATTTTGTCAAATTTCTCGAATACGGACCATTTTAGGAAAATTTTGTATAGAACAAAAATTATAGATAATAATATTAGAAGTAACTTTTATTTAAAGAATTTTCTTCTCCAAACGTAAATAACAGATATATTCCATAAAATATAAAAATGACCACCCATAAAGTACCCCCCCAAATGTTCCGATTCTGCCCAAAATCTAATCAGCTCATTAGACGCTGAAACAAAGCTTAAGTTTAAAATTTGGTGTTTTTCTGTGTATCGGTTCATGAGTTATGCGTTATACAGACACACACACACACACACACACAGACACACACACACACAGACACACACACACACACACACACACACACACACACACACACACACACACACACACACACACACAGACATCATCGCGAAAATAGTCAAAACGGATTCAGGGGACCTCAAAACGTAAAAATCCGTCGAAAACTCGAGATCGAAAAAAATCATGATTCCTATACTTTCCTTATATCTGTATACAGATAGGAAAGTAAAAATGTGTAAAAAAATTTGTTGTTATAAATATATTTTTTTATTCGTGTACTTATATGTATACGTATTTTTATATTCTTTTTTTTTTAACTTTTATTCAGGCTTTTAAGAAAAAACATTTTTACTGATCAAAAGTCATTTTGACCGTTTGTATATTTTGTTAACATTGTATAGTTTATTTATAAATAGTTAAAAGGACGTAAACAAAATTTATTATTTTTATATCTCCAATAATAAACAAGATAAGAGTGAGTGGAATTTTTAATAGGTTTACCATTAAAAAGAAGGTTCAGATAAGCCACTGATGCAATTTGGGTTAGTCTGAATTTTAACACCATAGGAAAGGCGCCTAATGTTAGGGTACTGCCTAATATTGGATACCTACTTATTTTAAAAATGAAAGTGTATATGTGCTTCCATCTATTAACCAGGAGCTGCGTTACACCTTAAAACCCCTTCAATAGATTTGCAGGGTTCTATAATAGGCTATGTTGACATAAATTACATTAAAAGGAAATGTGTGTGTCTGAAAATTTTTTGCTCCCTATATTAAGTGTTGAATTATCAGTTAAAAGGTAAACATTTTATATATTTATAAATGGGATAGCTATTGCATATTATACCGTAAATTTTACTAGAGTTTTTATAAATAAAATCTTATTTTTTTTGTCTAAAATAATTATAACCTAAAAATGTTATGATGTGCCTAATATTGGACAGCTACAGGTTCCCAATATTGGATATCCAAGGTTTAACCATTGGATGTGGCATTTATGGGACCTTTTAAAACGAATTATTGTCAAGAAATTGAAAACTGGTAAAAAGCTAACCCAGGAAGAACAGTTTTATCCTACGAGATTGGAGGTTTATTAGCAAAAGCATATTTAAGAACTGCATCGATGGAAATTTAAAATGTGACATTATGCCTTTTAATAGCAATATTTTCCAGAACCATGATTTTTCCATTCATGAGTAATTGGAAACTGCTGTTGAAACTAAAAATATTAACCCAGAAAATGGACCCCCAAATGATATTATCGAAGCAATTACCAAATCTAAATCCATTGCTCAAAAACCTGAACCAAAAATTATTGTTTTGCAAAATATTATTTGTAATAAACCAAATACGGAACCTTCGGTTCCTATTGCTAATAAAGAAAAGCAAATTAATTTTGTAAAACCAACGAACATACATCCACTGCCAGTATTACCTGGTCCTTCAGGAGTAAAACGGAAAAACTCTGGTGCCGCCGCCTTAGTTAGTGATTCGCCACACAAAACAGCCCTTGAGGAATCACAAAATCCAGAAACAACGGAATTTAAACTTTCAATCAAAATCATCTGAAAATATTAATAAAAATTACACTTCTCAAAAGAAAAATCAAAAAGTTGTTGTTCCCTCGGATTCCTCAGAATCAGAAGAGGAAGTCCAATATGCGGATTCTGAAGATGATATGGATACAAAAGAAGAAGATGGGGATTGTCCCTTCTGCTTGGAATCATTTTCTTCAGATAAAGCAGGAGAAAAATGGGTAATGTGTTGCAAGTGTTACAGATAGTTCCATGAAGCATGTGCTGGTACTGAAGGCAAAAAATTACATCTCTGACTTTTGTATGGATGGATGATTTGCATTTTTTAAGCTGTAAAGTGGAATTTTTTATTTGTTTTGTATTTTTCTCAATAAAGTTTTGAAATTATCAATAATTTTTGAATAAAAAACACATATTGGTAACACATTTAGAAATAATATTATCCAGTATAGCAGCCATTATGACAGCAGACAGAACATTTTTAATGAAAGTTTCTTATCAAAAAATGTTCAATAAAATAGAATTTTCAATAAAAATTTCCTGTTATTTCTGGAAATTCTAGAAATACGTCATGAAGCCACAGAATAATTAAATTAGTTATAAAAACTAATCCTGGTATCGCAATTAATAAATAATTTAATAGAGGCGGAACTTTTAAGTGGTCCACTCTGTATGATGGACACTAGCAACCGCCAGAATGGTCTGGTAGTTGTAATTATGTTGATAAAATAATTCAAACAATATTTCCTGAAAGTTTTAGCCTTGTATAAACACGTTTATTTTAACACTTCTAATAATTGAAATGTAGATGTCGCAACTGCAGTATCTTGTATAATATTAGACCGTATCGAGGTATTAAATATAAGTAGGTGTCAAAAATAGACTAGCTCAAAAATATCTGAACTAGCTCTTTAAACATTTTTTTAAATAAAAATGTACTCATTTTTGGATTGTAATAAAAGAACTGTATTTTTAGTTCCTACCCTTAAAATCTGATCTTACGTGTTTACGAAAGATATAAAGTTGAAAGTTAAAAATATATATTTTTATCTGAGATTTTGCAAAAATTTAACGTTCCATATATTTTTTTTTAAACTGGCCTAAAATATATATGGTTTTTAGATTTATTTAGGAATTGACAAAACATTACATTTAAAACATTTATTTAAAAAATAATATTCCTAAATCACAGAAAAGAAACAGGCAATTTTTTATAAAGAACTCATTAAATTTTACATATCAATAAATTAAAATAATAAAACATTACAAATTTAAATTTAATTCGTGTTCCAACCGAAACAAATTTACCATGAATGAGATACAACAGTTTGAGCATTTTCAGAAATTCTAGTTTCCGTACCAATAACTGGTATGGCATGATGGGCAACTATTGGAATAGTCTGTTCTTTGACTAAATTTGCTGTAACTACTGGTACAGCTTCAGAAATAACGGCTTTAGCCTCTACTGGATGCACTATGGATTGAGATTGTTCAGAAATTGTCGTCTTTGTGCCGATAACTGGTACTGCTGAAGGAACTTGTTTAGTTATAACTGGAGCTACATGATGAGATTCAACTAAAGGTGCAGCAAAAGCTGGAGCTACATGATACGTTTCTACAGATAATGCTGGATGATGAGCTTCTAATGCGACTTGAGTTGCATGATTAGTTTCTGATGCTAAAGCATGAGCTACATGATACGTTTCTACTGGAGCTACGTGATGGGCTTCTATTCTTACAGCTGGAGCTACGTGACGAGCTTCCACAGCAATAGCTGGAGCAACATAATGAGCTTGCTCTGATAAATGAACAGGCTCTATAGATTTAACAACTGTGGGGTGGGAATTTGTTTGTGAGTAGTCATATATAGTAGTTTTAGTTGCGATAGCTGGTACAGCATGAGTTTCAATTATTGGCTCCAAGTGGGCTTTGGCTTCAATCACTGGACTAACATCAACTGCTAAGTGCGATTTTACTAATGGTACTGGATGAGCAACTGATTGTGAATGCTCTGATATTGTAGTTTTGGTACCAACGTGGTGGCTAAGTAAAGGTTCTGATTTTAAATATGCTGTGTGGGTGGGTACATAGTCTCCAATTACTTGTACTGGTATACCATGAGGCACAAATTGTTTAACTTCAGCTACTGGAGTAAGTAGAGGTTGAACAACAGGGGTATGGTCAGCTTCTTTTAAAATTGCTTCTGTATCAGGAGCAGCTACCAAAGCTGAATGTCCATCAGTCACTATTTTCGCACCTTGTTGTACTGATGTGATAACACTACCGTCCGGGCCTACTAGTGTTGTTTTGGAGCTAGGGCCTTCGATGATATTAGACGAAGGTATTATGCCAGCTGTTGCTAGGGAGACAGCATGGATGAAGAATAGTGGGCCCTGCAATTAAAAGAAATACAAATTTAAATGTATTATTTTATTTACTACACAAGAAAAATAAGCCAATGAAATAGTTATTTCTGTATCAAGAGCGTAAAACAGGCGTTTATGGACCGCAACGTTTAAGTAAAAGTTCGAGCCGTTAGGCGAGGGCTATTAGCACGTAAAGTCCATAAACACTGTTTACGCTTGAAATACATACAAAATTTTATGAACGACCCTTTTATTGATAATTTATTAACAAATATAAAGGGTGTCCCATTAGTGCGTAATTGTTTAATGTTTAAAGGACCCCGCACAAAAGGATAGGATTTTGCCGTTCGGTCTAATTGGCTGATTTTTGGATATATTGTAGGTTTTGTCATCCTGAACAAAAGTCTCCATGGGCACCAAGGTCCAAAGTCCATATTTTGGCCGCTATCGAGCTCAAAAGCTCCATTTCTCCATCATAACGTAACCTCTTGAAGCAAGCCAGTTACTCACTGAAATATCGTTTTTGGTTTATTTTATTATCTAGTTATATGTTTTCGAGGTCCCTGAGTTGGAATCTGATGTCAAAATGACAGAATTGACAGTTGACAGCTGTCAACAAGCTGTCAAGTTGACGAAAAAATACAAAAAACTTGAAATAATGATGTAACCATATGTTTTCGAGGTCGCTGAGCTTGAATCTGATGTCAAAATGACAGAATTGACAGTTGACAGCTGTCAACAAGCTATCAAGTTGACGTAAAAATACAAAAAACTTGAAATAATGATGTAACTATATGTTTTCGAGGTCGCTGAGCTTGCTTGAATCTGATATAAAAATGCCAGAATTGACAGTTGACAGCTGTCAACAAGCTGCCAAGTTGACGGAAAAATACAAAAAACTCGAAATAATGTTGTGACCATATGTTTTCGAGGTATTTTTTCGTCAACTTGACAGCTTGTTGACAGCTGTCAACTGTCAATGCTGGCATTTTGACATCAGATTCAAGCTCAGCGACCTCGAAAACATATGGTCACATCATTATTTCAAGTTTTTTGTATTTTTTCGTCAACTTGACAGCTTGTTGACAGCTGTCAACTGTCAATTCTGTCATTTTGACATCAGATTCCAACTCAGCGACCTCAAAAACATATAACTAGATAATAAAATAAACCAAAATCGATATTTCAGTGAGTAATTGGCTTGCTTCAAGAGGACCTTTGGAGCTCTATAGCGGCCAAAATATGGACTTTGGACCTTGGTAACCATGGAGACTTTTGTTCAGGATGACAAAACCTATAACATATCCAAAAATCAGCCAATTCGACCGAACGGCAAAATCCTATCCTTTTGTGCGGGGTCCTTTGTGTTATAGACACGTTAAAAAATTTAAATACAAGTTATATGGATTTAAAAGATGCATATTTTAAAAATATTTTTGTCTGGCAAACAAAAATTATGTTTTTTAAACAGAACACTCTGTATTTTGATTTTAGAATGGTTTGGTAATACTGTATTTAACCCTAAAATGTTTTTAAAAAATATTACAGTGTTGCCAACAATTTTGTTTTTAAAATTATAGAATAATGCAAACTCGAAATAAATTTACTTATTCAACGATATCAACATGTTAGTCAATAACATATAATATACAGAGTGTCCCATCAGTGCGTAATCAATCGATAGCTGTTTTATTTTTGGAAATACGAAAAAAAAAATGATATAAAAGTTGTATGTTTAACCCAAATTATTTTAGTGTTGCCTTATTTTACTATGTTTCTGTAAAGCAGCTTAGACGCCTGACAAAGAGATTTCGTAGCAAGTGGCGTCACCAACATTTAATTATCTATTAACGTCTAAAAGAGTATTTGGTACGACTTTTTAATAGTTTGGTGAGTTGTAATCACGATAATTTGGAACATATAAACATTCCGTTTGAGAAAATACATTTTTTCATAAACAGACATTTCTTTTTTGCTTTATTTTATAACTGTTGTATTTTTAAATGTTACATCTAACCTCAAATTAGTGTAACAACGTAAATGAAAAGGTTTTTAGTATTTGTTAGGAGTGCAAAGTTGACAGTTGCTTTTATGCAACGCTAGGATAATAAGGCATTGTATTTAGGCAAATAATCTAGTTGGAATTATAGGCAATTTTGATAAATACACAACTATTTCAACGACAACTTTAGTGCTTTTATGTTTTGAAAAATAACACTTTGGCCATCATAAGGGCTAAATATATTTTTATCTTTCAATTCGTTTAACAAAAAATGTATTTTTCAAATCCATATAACTTTTATTTGAAATTTTTTGAGTATCTATAACACAAATTGAAACATTGAACAATTACGCACTAATGGGACACCCTGTATAAAATTTTATGTACGACTGTTTTAATGATCGTTTATTAATAAACTATTATTTTCTATTTTTCGCCTTTTGTGAGCAGGTTATCAATTTACTGCCCGTCGGGCGGAAAAGTAATTCACGGGCGATAAAGGGGCACTTTACGCCCGCTAAACGTATTTATAATCTGAACTTTATCACCCGGTGTGCATAAAATATATTAAAACTACCACACATAGGATCCATATTTAAAAACAAATATAAAATAAGTTGGATTAATAAATATTATAATAAATTTTAACTCACGCACATCTTCCTAATCAATTTATCCAATGTACTATTCAAGTTGTTACAAATGGTGCACACTGTGCCAACATACAGCTTTATTTTAGGTTTGTCTGTGAATGCCAAGATAAAAGTATTTTATTCGAGCATTTAGATTCTAGACACAAAAAATAATACCATGTCTCGTGCAATCGATTGTATTATTTAGAATATTGCGGAGCAAAAACCCGGTTTGGATTTTATCCAGACATTTAAGTAGACTAAGGAGACGTTTTTGTGATAATCAATTGAAAGATAGACACCGTAGGCACTAACTAGGATATCATATTAAATTTACAATGAACAAAGTATATAATAGTATATTATTTAATAAGTGTATAATGTTGACCATATTACACGAGTGTTGTAAATATTCGAGTGTAGTATGGTCCATTATACACGAATTAAATACTTTACTTTATCTACAACTGAATACGGGGGCTCACCGAAAACGAAAAGGGGATTTTTAGAAAAAATTCTTTGAAGTTGTTATAAATAGAATTGACAAGATTGTTCACAATTAAAAGACCTTTCAAATGAGGAGTATTTAAGCCACCGTGTGAAATAAAACGTCAATTTATACAGGAACTCGTTTAAAATTATTTATTGATGTAATTAATAGTAACATTACAATTTGAAATATTAATAGCTCCGGTAATATCATTGAGATTATTGTTTTTAAAAGAAAAATTAGTGTATTGTTAATAAAAATTTTAACAATGTATTTAGTATGTGATGTGTTTAGCCAATGGTGCCGCTGTTTCTAAATGGACTAACAACAGATACATTAGGTGAGTATTATTAATGGTTCATTATTTAATTGTTTTCACTTAAATTGAAAGAGGGTGGGGTCCATAACACTCTAGTGGCACAAAAAGTAAGCGTTTTAGAAAACAAAAGAACTATTTTGAATGTTGTAGAGACCAGTGTTATATATTTTTGTTATGTACCAGATTTGTCTGAGAAATGTACCAGATTCCATAAAAATAGACCAATTCTATAAATTGTACCATATTTTTTGAATTGTAATGGTTTGGTGCAGAAGAGCAAAAAATAAGCTTTTATTGAAGACGAACACAAATAAGGAAGAAACCAACCATATATTATTTTACTTGTCAAATAGAAACGGGCTAAAAAAAGTAAAAGAACTAGATTTTGCTTCGAGTGTACCAGATTCTTAAATAATGTACTAGATCTAGTACAATTGTACTAAACTGGCAACACTGAGTGTAACGTTTGCTCTAAGTTAAGGGACCCTCAACATCTATTTTAAACGAGTTTGCGTGAGTTATAAATAAATGTTTTAATTATTTTATATTACAAATTTAAAAACAAAATAAATATTTTGTATAATTTTTCGTTATTTTACTTCTTCAAATAAAAAAAAAACTTCATGTCGAATTTAAGAACAACCGAACAACCTATGGTTTTAAGTTTGACATTTTCAGTCGAAAGTAGGTACATAGTTCATTATATTTATTTTGTACTATCTCTATCTAATCTTTATTTTTTAAAGGTATTAATTTACTGTCTTTTTTATTTTCATACACATGCGCTAACCTAAATTTGACAGTGATGTCGAAAATATGTACGTAATGTACACATTTTCGTCTTATGGAAAGACCATGTTAAATTATCATGTGCTTACTTAAGAGCAAACCGAACACCTCGAAAATTTATAATTCATTCTGAGCCTTATTTTTAGTCCTGTTTTCGTGAAATTTTCAGGAAATACCAATAATAACAAAACTTAGGATACAAAAACCTTAAATTTTTTGTAAACCTTTGAAAAGTATTTATTTTGAAAATTTTTAAAAGGAATTTAAAAAAAAAACATTTGCGCGCCATCTGTATTAAATCTGTAACAATTGGAAAAAATAGAAGAATATTTTCAGAAGGGTGCAAAAGTAGTGTTTTTTCTGTGTCAACAAGCAAGAATTTTTTTATCGGATTGGATAAAAACATGGCTAAGGTGTTGATAATGATGATGATGATGATGATGATTCTTTGTAACTAATGACCAGTTATTGGACAGCGAGCGTATCCCCTTTGGTTCAATGCGTAAATAAAAAACCTTTACCAATGGTAGACCTGGGCGCCATTGAAAAATATACCTCCAGAAATGAAGTTTAATGCTGTCATTAATGAACATACTCTTCCACAAATGAGTTAAAAAAATTAATACCCGTTAAAATTCCAATAGCCTTTAAGAAAGCGTTGTTTTGGCCTGATGAGAGTTCAGTTAGCAAAGTGATGAAGTGAAAAAAGAAGAAATATCAGCGGTGACTACTTCCGATCAATGGACGACGTATTATACAAAAAAGGTAGGATATATTTTCCAAGAACTTAAATAA